GTCCCTCCCATTCCCCTCGCAGTCCCTCCCAGTATATCCCAGTCCCTCCCAGTTCCCCTCCCAGTCCCTCCCACTGCCCTCCCAGTATATCCCAGTATATCCCAGTCTCACCTGTGCGCTGTCCCAGCACTGATACCTCAGATAATCGGGGCTGACGCTGTGGGGGAAACCCCGTGGGAGCAGCACCCTCTGGGGGGGGGGGAGAGGGAGGGGTCAACACCCCCCAAAAAAAACCCCAAATCCCCAAATCTTACCCCAAAACCACCCCAAATCCCCCATTCCCCCCATATTCCCCAATTTCGTCTGAATTTTCCCCAATTTTCCTTGAATTTTCCCCAATTCCCCACATTTTCCCCGATTTGCCCCAGATTTTCCCTAATTTCTCTGGAATTTTCCCCAATTTGCCCCAGATTTTCCCCAATTTCCCACATTTTCCCCAATTTGCCCCAAATTTTCCCTAATTTCTCTGGAATTTTCCCAATTCCCCACATTTTCCCCAATTTTCCGCCAATTTTCCCTAATTTTTCTGGAATTTTTCCCAATTTCTCCTGAATTTTCCCCAAGTCCCCACATTTTCCCCCAATTTGCTTCAGATTTTCCCCAATTTCCCACATTTTCCCTAATTTGCCCCAAATTTTCCCCAATACCCCACATTTTCCCGACATTTGCCCCAGATTTTCACCAATTTTTCTCTGGAATTTTCCCCAATTTGCCCCAAATTTTCCCCAATTCCCACGTTTTCCCCAATTTGCCCCGGATTTTCCCTAATTTCTCTGGAATTTTCCCCAATTTGCTTCACATTTTCCCCAATTTGCCCCAAATTTTCCCTAATTTATCTGGAATTTTCCTTGAATTTTCCCCACATCTTCCCCAATTTGCCCCGGATTTTCCACAATTCCCCACATTTTCCCCAATTTGCACCAGATTTTCCACAATTCCCCACATTTCCCCCCAATTTGCCCCAAATTTTCCCTAATTTTCCTCAAATTTTCCCCAATATGCCCTGGATTTTCCCAATTCCCCACATTTTCCCCAATTTTCCTCCAATTTTCCCTAATTTCTCTGGAATTTTCCCCAAATTCTCCTGAATTTTCCCCAAGTCCCCATATTTTCCCCCAATTTGCTTCGGATTTTCCCCAATTCCCGACATTTTCCCCAATTTGCCCCGGATTTTCCCTAATTTCTCTGGAATTTTCCCCAATTTGCCCCGGATTTTCCCCAATTCCCCCCATTTTCCCCCAATTTTCCCTGAATTTTCCACAATTCCCCACATTTTCCCCCAATTTGCCCCGGATTTTCCACAATTCCCCACATATTCCCCCAATTTTCCCCGGATTTTTCCCAATTCCCGACATTTGCCCCAATTTGCCCCGGATTTTCTCCAATTTCTCTGGAATTTTCCCCAATTTGCCCCAGATTCTCCCAAATTCCCCACATTTTCCCCAATTTTCCTCAAATTTTCTCTATTTTCTCTAGAATTTTCCCCAATTTTCCCCAATTTCCCCCCAATTTCCTCATTTTTTCCCCAATTTCCCATCAATTCCCCCAATTTTCCCTGATTTTGTTCCCATTTCCCCGTATTTTCCCTCAATTATTCCCCAATTTGTCCCAATTGTCCCATTTTTTCCCCTATTTCCACTCATTTCCCCCCACTTTCCCAATTTTTCCCCAATTTCCCTCTAATTTCCCCTCAAAAATCCTCAAATTTCCCCAAATATTCCCAATTTCCCACAATTTCTCTCCAATTTTCCCTGAAATTTACCCAATTTCCCCCCAATATTTCCCCAGTTTCCACACAAATTCTCCCAAATTTTCCCAATTTCCTCAATTTTTGCCCAATTTCACCAATTTTTCCACAAATTTCCCAAATTTCCCATCAATTCCCCAATTTTCCCCGCGTTTTCCCATTTCCCCGCGTTTTCCCTCAATTATTCCCCAATTTACCCCAATTTTCCCCCAAATTTCCCCAATTTTCCCCCTATTTCCACTCATTTCCCCCAATTTCCCATTTTTTGCCCAATTTCCCCATTTTTCCCCTAAAATTTCCCTCAAATTTCCCCTAAGATTTCCCCAAATATTCCCAATTTCTCACAATTTCTGTCCAATTTCCCAATTTTGCCCAATTTCCCCACAATAATTTCCTCTCCATAATTTCCTTTCTTCCCAATTTTTCCCTGTTTTCCCCACTTTTCCCCAATTTCCCCTTTTTTTACCCCAAATTCCCCCACTTCCCCAAATTTTCCCCAATTTCCCCCAATTTTTCCTCATTCTCCCCCCAAATTCCCCCATTCCTTCCCCAACTCTT